CCCACTGACTGGGGTATGTTATTACCAGGTTATTAAACCGTCCTCAAAAGGTATTGGTCAAATAATTCTGACATCCAGAACACTAATTTAGAAAAATAAAATCTTGGAGTCAGTCAATATTGATCTAACAAGCCACAACTCCCTAGGACAAAAATGAGGGTGATCACCTGATGTGCAGTAGTTTTCTTATTGTTGAGTTGGGGTTGGGGGTGGTTTATTCTATTTCTTAAACCAGGCACAAAATTAAAAGCTTTGTGCAAGCCAAGATGAAAGGAGGAAGAGGAGAAAAGAAAAGCCCTGGAAGACCTACATATCTCTTCTTGCACAACTACAGCATGGGCTCCGCCGGGGACTTCCGTGTGTGTCCATGTGTCACAGTAAATCAGCTCAGCTTTCCCACCCGGGCTGGGGAGAGTGCGAGAACAAAGGGTTGGAGCAGCAAGGGCAGCCATGGGCTGGCGGGGAGCAGAGGCGCACCGAGCCACGAAGACGACAAGGCAGCGCTGTGGTCAGGCAGCGTGCACCGCCCAGGAAGGCGGAGGAGCATAGACATCCCAGAGGCGAGAGGAGGAGGCCTGTCAGCCCAAGGAAAAGCGGTTCCAAAATGATGGCCCTTTGAAGGAACCCTGAATTTCTTTAATCAACTGATTTCCTCCTCTAAAACGCCTCATTTAGCAAGGCTTGTTCTGGGCTGAAATCGAATAGGTGTAATTGACAAATGCTTGAATTTGGGTTCCACTCTGGGGGAAAAAATACTTCTACACTGGCTTCTCCAATGTAATTTTGGGGAAAAAAAAGATACATTTTAAGGAGTCTTTTTCCAATTCCATTTGGGGGTAGGTCCTGACTTCCCTCCTGCTCCCCCACTCTTTCCCTCAAATTGCACGGGGGCGCGCGTGCACGCACCCTCACGCACACGCACAACACTTAAACAATGCCAAGCGATCTGGCTTTCTTTCTCGAGAGAGGCCACAGACGAGGCAGCTGTCAGGGACTAAGCTGTAATCAGCTTTAACTGGCTCCCGGCCTGGGAGGGCACAGACCCTCTTATTCCTCCGCTAACAGGTCAGGCGGCTGCCGCTGGTGCTGAGTGCTGAGTGCTGAGTGCGGGGGTGGGCGGAATTGGTTTCTGCTGGAAACACCTTCCTTATGCAGGATCCACAGCAAACCTTCCACTGCCAGTCCCAAGAATGCAATTATACACAAAGAAGAGGGCAATTTAAAATTCCAGATCATGGCTTGAACTGCATGTAACATGTCACCCCGCCCTCCCCCCAGCGTGATTTAGAAGGACAATAAATCAATGAGACGGTAAAAGGAAAAGTTAAAACACAACTAAAAATGAGTTTTTCAGGCGAGTCTGATATGCCACAAGATTGCTAGTTAAGAACAGTATCCCTTTTCTCGACTTCAGTGTTAGATCCCCTTCTCTTCACCAGCATCAGAGACCCAGTGAGTGTAACTTGGGAACCAGATGAACCGAGGAGGCTATTAGCTTCACAGGTGGTCAAAGACAGGGGCTTTCTCTACATAGTGTAGCTGTTTAGGTGTGAAAGGACACCTCCCCTTCACCTCAAATGTCTATTGTAAAAAGGTATGGACTGGATGAGATTAAGGTCACCATATCTGTACCACGAAACAAAAGAAAAAAGTAAAAAAAATAAAATAAAAGGCATTCACTCGAATCTTACAATGGGAGGTGGGAGTGGTGGGTGGGTGAGGGTGGGGATAGAAAAGCAAGGGAGGTATCTAAACAGCAGGATACGACAATAAATGGGGAAACAGCAAGAGAAAAAGCACACTAGGTTAATATAGGAAACTAGTTCTTTATTGAGAGATTGTATATTAGTATTAGTGGATTCTGTGTGTAACAATGTTGTCATGCACACAATACAAAAAAAAAAAAGAAAGAAAGAAAGAAAAAAAGGCTGGGCCCACCATGCTTCGAAGGGCAACAGAACAAAAGCAGCGTACAATGAGCAGATGGCCCGGGCTACACAGTACGGTTCAGCAGGGCAACGTCTCTAACCGAGCGCTGTACATTGTCAACTGGGGGATGTAAAAAAATACAGATCATGCTTTAGTTTTAGTACAAGAAAAGGTGAAAAAGATACACAACCAAAAGGATATTTGATACAGAAAAAATTACCCACAAAATAAGAACAGGAAGTAATCCAGCACAGCAGAACACACTATCCCTGTTTAATGGAAAACCGTTTTGCTGGAGATTGTTTTTTCTTTTCTTTTTTCCTCTTTCCTTTCAGATTGCCACATGGCAATCTGGGGAGGCCACTTGGGACTTTATTTTGGAAGGGCCCTCAAAGTAGGGGCCTCATTCTTTCATTATTGCTGTTTTGTTTCAAGCAGGTCTGGCCAGCGAGGCCGCAGAGGGGAGCCGGCTGTTAAAGGGGTAGCTCTGAGGGCCAGGGCAGATGTCCAAAGATGCTCTTGACATTGTACAATTAAACAATTAAGACACCATCAGCCATGGCTCCCCCTTAAGCCACAGACCTTGCCGCACCAAATTTTCAAAGGCTCTGGGGTGGCAGCAACTGTCATTTCATCAAAGATTTTCATAGATATAGATTTATTATTTTTTGCCTTCGACTAAATGTGATCTGTTCACTTATGCTTGGGTGCCTCCAGGAAGCTAGCTTATGGCCACCCAGATAAGTGGGAAATGGGCTGCTCTGGTCTCCAAGCCAAGGCAAAAGGGATCCACTTAACAGGGATTTACAGTGCAATGTACTCAGCTAAACAAGATGAAGATACAAAAATGGTTATTTCTCTATATCTATTCTGAAATGGTCTATATCCTATACTACTACAATGGAAACTAAAAAGAACAGGTTTAAGCTTGCAGGCTATCTAATAGTTTTACAAGAAGATTGTGGTTTAAGACCTTGTCAGGTTAAGCATTAGTATCCTCTATCGGAAGGTCATGAATTCTTATCACATTGTGCTATATTTTACCCACAGCCTGGTCACCCTCAGCCCTTGAATTTCCTGTGAGCATGTCCGCCCTGAAAGTAAACTTTGACTGTAGGGCAGAATTTGTTTTGTTGGATTTTTTTGGGGGGGAGTATTAAAAATAAAATTTAAAGGCAGCTGAGCAATTTGAATTTCAAAACATGAACTCGACATCCTGCAGTGGTATTTAGAGATCGGTGGTATTAATGAGGATGATAATGATTTAATCAGGATAATTATACTTTCAGGCTCAACATCCTTCTTAATCATTTTTGAATTTCTGCCTAGTGTAATGTTCCACACCCGTTTTCAGAGGAAATGCCAAGCAATAAGACATAATTGTGATTTGGGGGAAGGGGCTGGCATTTCAAGAGAGACTTCATCCAGCCCCCATTCCTGTTCCTCACACCCCCCCTCCACCACCACCACCACCCACCCCCCCAGGTGCTGGGCTGGCCTGAGATAGGGGATACTGCCGCTTAAATAGCAATGCTTTCCTCAGATGGAGACAGGAGATGGTTAAGAGGGGTGTCACAATACAGCTAAATGCGGAGGCAGAGGGTCACAGCGCACACAGCAGCGAGTTGACCATTCACTGAGCTACACAATGAAGAAAAAAAAGATTTGATAAATGCAGAATGTCATCATTCTATCATCACACACAAAAAAACTGCGGTTCAAACAGGCCTAAGAGGGTCAACCTTGCCTTTTAGGTTCTGGGGAGAGGCGTGGGGTTGGGGACAGCTGGGCTGGGCTTTCATTTTCTCGCCCAATCGGGCCCCTGGGGCGCACTGAAGAGCTGGCCCCGCGACCCCACCCCCCACTCAGCCCCTTGGAGCAGCCCTGGTCGGAAGGGAAGACATCATTCTGTGTGTGAGGGAGGGGGAGGGCCTTAGCCAGCAGGGATTTAAGCAGATGTGGAGTGGGAGAGGATAGAAGAAGCATTTCCAAGAAGAGGAATGTGAGTCCAGAGGCAGAATACAAAAAGAATAAAAAAATGAATCTAAATGCATCTCAGATTTGCTTTGGGAGGTGGGAATTTTTGATTAAAAGAAAATGGAAGAAATGGTGGGGGGAGGGGAAATAAAGCTATTGTACCAGAAGGTGAGGGAAAGGGATGTGAGGAAGAGGACCGTGCAAACACACCCCATATATCACTGTTAAAAACAAAGCCGGCGCCGGCCTGCTGCTTGATCCATGCCTGCCCCGGGCAGCGGGCCTGGCGTGGGGCAGCTTACCACCTCATCCTCACACACACCCAAGGGCCAGGCCCCCGGCTCCAGCTGGGCCCAGGAGTGCACAGCAGTGCACGCCTGACTCTGAGGCGCGCACAGTCTTGCACACATACACGCACACGCACAAGCACACACCCCAAGCATTTTGAACCGGTGCGTGCAACTGTCATACAAAGACAATGGGGGAGGGGGAGGGAGATAGCACGAGGGTGACACAGAAAGGGTTAATCGGAGAAAAGGACGGGACGGTAAATCGTGCAAGTTCCCACGAGAGGGTGGAGGGTGGGGGCTGGGGCTTGGGATGGGGCAGATCGGGGATCCCAGCTACCCAGCCATCAGTACCAATGGCCAAAAAATGAAATAGAAAAAGAGATAACACAAAACATACAAGTACCTAAAAAAAAAAAAGCTAATCACAGAAATCCAAATGTTTCCACAAACACACGCACACACGCACACAGTCATGTATTTCGGTCTTCCGATCATACAGGGCTAGGAATTAAGGGAAGGGGCTGTGACTTGGGGGAACTGAGTCCGCCGCAAAGAATAAAAAATGGGGCTGGGGAGGGAGGGACCCAAATTCACCAAACGCTAACTTCACTACAAAAGCTCCCACGAGGGAGGCCGCCCTCACACTCGGGGGTCCCCCCAAAAGGGAGAGGGGAGAAGCCACCACTCGCCCTGTGTCCCCGCGGGTGTGCCCTGAGCCCCCCCGTCCCCCGCGGTGCCTGCCCCCGCCCCGTTGTCTGCGGCCATCCACACTCCGAAGCGGACCCCAAAAGGAAAAAGCGATACCTCTGTTTCGCACAGAGCCAAACACTGGAAGCACGAGATAGCCGACGTGGACCAGGACCATCCTGGCTCCTCGCGCGGCAGCGGCGGCAGCAGCGCGCGGGCCCTTTGTGGCGCGGCTCCGGGGCGCGGGCGCGGGCGGCGGCGGGGCTGCGGGAGCCGCCGGGGCGGGAGGCGGAGCGCGGGGCGCGGGCGGCGGTGGGGCGGCGGCTGGCGGGGAGACAGATGGCCCATGGAAAGGCTCCCTTCCCGGCCCCTCTCGACATTCAAAGGCGCTGGGACCGCAGCTGCCGCCACACAAAGGCGCGTGCAGCCAATGGGAGCGGAGCGCAGCACGGCGCGGCCTCGCCGGAACCGCGGGGGACAGCGGGGACCGCGGGCGCGCGGGTGGCTGGGGGGAGGGAGGGGTGAGGGCTAAGAGAGAGCAGGCGGCCAATCGCGGTGGCCCGTGGCCCAGCGCGAAGGGGTGGGGCGGGGGTCAGCCCCAGGGGAAGCGTGGAGCCCAGCGCGGATCCCTGGCCGCCTGCAGGCCAGAGCGCACGCGTGCACGAGGCACCCTGAACACAGAATCAGGCGGCGTGCACATGCAACCTGCACACACAGAGAGGGACGTGCACCCAGACATGTGAAAGTGCGTTGGTGCGTGCGGAGAGACAGGCGCGAGCACACCAAATGCACACGGCCTGGCCCGGAGGTCCTTGCACAATGCACACGGGTCACTTGGGGACTGTGTATGGAGGCTGGCAGGCACACGTGCTGAACCTGACTGCGGGCTCAAGTGAAGCTAGAAAACGAGCGAGCAGCCGATGGCAGGGCACGGTCACACGACGTGCTCACACCCAAAGCCTTGTTAATGCAGGAAGTGTGCGTGCCTAGAACACATTCCCAAAGACACATGGAGGGAACACACCATGCAGATATGTACACCATGCAGAGATGTACGCTCCCTGCCTGTCGCACCACTTTGTGGCTCTGGCAGAGCAAGGAAGCTGGCGATAATCATTTGTTGAATTGAAAGCTACTCATCCACTGAGGCATGTGCACACATTCTATACAGAGACAGACGCGCCCAGAAAACCCAGAGTCATTCAGACAACGTTCACCCCACTCTGACAGACACAACCAGCCATGTGCATAGACACGCCCACTTCCACAGCCCACAGGTACAAACATGACACTGGGCTAATGAGACTCCTCGGGTTCATATGTGGAGGCATGGCCATGCCGTCTTGTGTGGCTTGTGGCTGCACTTCCAGGTACATGCAAGACACAAGCCAAGAGTGTCACCTTGCAGCCCTGCACTGCTAAGACTGTTCTGTGCCTCAGCCCACCTGCTATGAAAACTCTCAGCGTGACCCCCAGATCAGGCTTGCAGTCCAGCCCAAGGCCACTCTATGGTGTGCTGGGGGGATAGGTGGCTGGCCATCCACAGGCTGAAAGACAGAGGCTATGTCCTGCGCTGAGATTTGTCTTCAAAACCCAGGGGCTGCTTTACTTAATGAATCAGTAAAAAACTAGATGGTAAAATCGCAGAATGTGAAACTGGAGGGACACTGATTCCACGCATCCTGCCCCCCTTCTAGAGACAAAGAGAAGGAGGACCATTTCTGGGTGAGCATTGTGTTTGTGTCAGGGTATGCAGGACGTGATGCAGATCCTCCTGGGACCCCAACCCTTACAGCCCAGAGGGGGCCTCTCAAATGTAAACGCAGTCACCACAATGCCTGCCTGGTGTGGTGAAGGCCACCGCCTGGGGTGCGGTGGCTGTGGGGGGGGGGGGGGGGGGGATAGGGGAAACACTAAGAGGGCACCTAGCCCAGTGGGTGGGAGGTTGGGGGGGCAGTTGGGGTTGCCTCTAGAAATGTGACTTCTAAACTGAGACTTGAAGAATGCAGAACAGAAGTAAGGTGAGGCAAAGAGAGGACAGCAAAGGGAAAAGCAGAACCTGGCTTTGCCAAGAGTTACCCTATTTTCACGAGTGACAGCAGGACAGGATCCCGGGGCACATCTTCCTCTCTCTCAGGAACACAAATATCCTGTTCCCCTCCCTAAACACCCCCAGCTTCCCCCAGAGAAGCCAGCAATGAGGGCAGCCAGGGGAGACCTCCCGACAGTCCCAAGCCTCACGCTAGAAGATCATTTCACCCTAATTCTGCCATCAACTTTCACTTTTCCATTATCTGTCAAGTAAACACAATGTCACTACTAATAAAAGTCTTAAAAATGAAAAGACTGAACAAATACCTGACTACTAGGATTTTTTTCTGTTCTATTTTAGGCTTTTCCAATATGCATATTTATCAGAGTCATTGTCATATCAGCATATTCTTTATCCCGCCTTTTATTTTTTACCTTGCTATTTAAACTTCAAATTTTACCAAAAATTTCCCTGTCCTTCTACATAATTACCTTTATAATTTTCATTTTAAATGATTTTATAGTATTCCAACAAGCAAGTAAGCTGTAAAAATATTTAATTATACTCTAAGACACTTAATTTGCTCCCAGTTTTTTATTACTGCAGGTTGCACAATGAATTTCTTCATACCTATGGCTTGTTACTTGTGTTAAACTATAAGCTGAGAATACACTTCTAGGTTTGGTGTTCTTAAATTGACGGTATGGAAAACTTAAGGGCTCTTGGCACGTATTGCTTTGTGAAAACATTAAACCATCAATGCTACCAGCAGTATGTAGTGTGCTGGTCCTCTGCAACCTTGCTAGCTTTGGGTGGGTACTGTATTTGTTTATTTGTTTGATCTTACTTAAAGAGCAGTTCACTGAGGCTTAGGACTGCCCAGCCTGACCTTGACTGCAGAGTGCTAAAGGTACACACTCTGAAATCAGATTGCCTGGTTGCACATTCTGGCTCTGCCACTTACTAGCGTGGACAACTTATTTAACCTCTCTAGGTCTTGTTTCAATATTCATAACATAGGCATGATTATAGCAACCTTCCTCATGGGATTAATACGAGGACCAAGTAAGTTAATACCTGAGTACATAGAATAATGCCTGGCTGTTCAGCTCTTAGTTCTTTCCCCTTTACTTGTCCATCTTTCCTTGTCCACTTCCTCTTACCCTCCTATTACTATTTTTTATTGCCTAGTTATTGCATTTAGTGTAAATTATACCATAACATGGAACATCTATCAGACAGAAGCAATAATCATCAAGGAACATACCAGCACTGAAACCCAGGGAAATCCACCTTCTAACTATATCCTTCATAGTCACACATCAGAGAAACACAACAATAGATGCCCACATTCACCAGTATACCAATATTCACACACAGGTATGTGCCTCCTGCTAAGAAGGAATTATTGTGGATTAGCGGGGGAGAGCTCTGCTGGCAGAGCCCCCCTATTCGCCGTGGATGAGAATCAGTCTACCAAGAGATGATCTGAATGGGAAGTAAATGTGCCTGATCTCTTAAAGGAGAAGGGCCAGGGGCCCATTCCTCAATGGGTTTTATTGGGTTCAATTTGCACAAGATACAGGTAAAGCTCATTAATTGTTGTCAAGCGGTAAGGATCAAACAATAGATAACATACAATGAACTATGAGGGCTTATTCTGAGTCAGGGTCAGTTAGCTAAAGGGCTATAAAACTTTGGGAAACAAACTCGTTCTATGCTTGGATCCTTATCATTTAAATTGAGGGTATTAGCAAAGCAAGTTTCACAGAATTTAAGTCATTCTTTCTTAGGCATGATAGCCCCAGGGAACCTGCCCACCCTTTCCAGCACAGGACCACACCCACCTCTGGCATTGTTTCAGGCTTAAGTCAGGTAGGGGAAGTAAAACAGCCAAGAGATTAAGAGACTTCTTACAGCTAGAATGAGGACTCAGGCTATGTCAAAACCAAGGGGCGAAGAGTCCATCACCCCCTTTTTCTACAGACCCTGAGTCCCTCCTTGAGGGCCCCTTTGTGACTGAGCCTGTCTTAGGTTGTCCCTCCCTTGAGGAATCTTACCCATCATTGGCTAACCAGTCATCCACACTGTGCCAAGCAGGGTGAAGTAAAAGAGAGCAGAAGTAGTGCCCTTGCCAGGGAGATAAGCTTTATCTCCTTGGTGGCTTATGGTCTCAAGGTCTCTTTACTCAGCCTTAACCATGAGCGGGGTGGGGTTATAGCTTCTGAAACCTGGCAGGGCAGTTCCCAACAGATTAGGAAGAGGAGTTTCATTTTTAATGAAATTTGGGGTAGGCACATACCATCCCTCAGCTTCAATGCACTGATCTATCTAATGGGAATAATACTAATCCTTGTTATACCTTCCTTAAAGGTTCAATGTGTGGACCAAATGAGAATATAGCTATGGAATCTGTAAATAATACAGAGAATTCTAGAAGTATATATGCATGGTGTCTCAAACAACGAAACTTGATTATTATCTTGCCCATCCCTTGTTCAACAGTGGAGAGGACTGAGCTCAAAAAGGGGGTTATTAACAAGGTCACAACCATTCCAGGCTGAGTTAGCACTAGGATCCATACTTCCCAGCACACAGCCCACTATTGCTCCTACTTTCCCTGTTCTTCCTTTGTGCTGAGATGATTGTTTTCCAACCCCCCTCTCATTAGTTAAAGTCCACAGTAAAGCCAATTCTTGAGAATAGAGAGATTTGTAGGAATACTCCATTCAGCGGGGTTTTTTTCTTTGTGTGTTCTTCCCACCCCCTGCCAAAAACAACACCTACAGCCTGTTTGCAGACTTAACATGTAAGACTCAGCAAGAAATATTAAAAAATGAAGGGTGAAGGTCAAGCTATAATCTCTGATCCAAAATAGAGAAACATGACCCTGTAAGGTTGAAATAGCACTGTCACCTTCAACGGTGACCCACACTTTGAGACCTCACTCTCTTTTGTGTCCACTCTGACCACCTGCAGAAAGGGTTCTATGCAGCAGTCCCCATCCTTTTCAGCACTAGGGACTGATTTGGGGATAAGAACATTCTTCCACAGGCGATGGTGGTGAGGGGAGATAGGAGGCAGAGCTAAGCTGTAATGCAAAGGAAGCTTCAATCACTCCTCCACTGCTTACTTCCTGCTGTGCAGCCGGTTCCTAACAGGCCACCGACCCTCGGGGGTTGGGGACCCCTGCTATAGAGCATCATGTTTCTTTGTTTCAAGAACTACTTTGGAGTTGTACATCAGATCTCGGGTAACACCAACATTGCCCTTTAATCAATAAATGCAAATAAATACCACACCAGTCATACAGATATGAAAAATTTTCTAAGACTGAGGACAGAATCCTTGCTCTACTCCAGGTTGTGTTACCCTCAGGTGGATACAACTTTCAAAATCTGTGCAAAAATTGCTGGGCT